GCCCGCGCGCCAGTGGACGGGAGGGTTCATTGTTCCCGCTGCGTCATGCGAGCGCCGAGAGTCCGCTTGATCCCGCGGCGTCTTGATCCGATCCCAACCGTCGTGACACGACCGGCGTTGTTGTTGAGTCTGGAGCGGGGACATACCCGACCATGTCAACAACTTGAACCCGGTGCATCAAAGAGAAGAAGACGACTTGAGTCGGCGTTTCGGGGGCGTATATAAACGCTGGCGAATTATTCTCCCTTCGTTTGTTTAACCCACAGCGCATCCCAAACCAACAACAACATGCGCCCAACACGCCTCCTCTCCGCGCTTCTCCTCCCTGCGGTCTTCGCGGCTGCACTCCCCAGTGCAGTTCGCATGCGGCGCGACGACGAAACCGCCATTGCCCGCCGGGCACCCGACGACCCAGCCCTATATTCCGTCCACCTGATGGCCCGCCAGGAGGAAGACCCTCAGCCCGGCGGCGGGGACGGTGAGCAAGATCCGGACCCCGGGAACGGCGGCGGCAGTGAGCAGGACCCAGACCCCGGGAACGGCGGCGGCGGCGAGCAAGACCCAGACCCTGGGAACGGCGGTGGTGAGCAAGACCCAGACCCAGGTAACCAGTGCCCCCGACGCCGCGCGGCATGAAGCGCACGACAAGTGCGTTCTCTTGTTGCCTCGTCGTCGGATGATTTTCATTGACGTGTGTTGCAGACGGTTCAACGTAAACCCAAGTTTCTCTTCAATACGTTGGTGGAGCCCATATAGTCATTGGACAGTGTACTCACCTCGTCCGCTGTATATTTCTGCACAATTATCGTCACTTTGTTCCATTTCCTTGCGGCCCGAGGGCCGGGGTCGAATTCGGCGACGAGGAGACGGGTGAGGGGGAGCGGCGCCAGCTCGGCGGCGATGCGCGAGAAGCTGCGGTGGCTGGTAGCCTCGCATCGTGCGGCGCTACGACTCGGGTCGTATTCGGACTTCCGATAGAACGAAGCCTTCAGTGTTCCTTCCTCCGGCTCCCCCTCCCCGATTGCTTGTTTTTCTCAAGAGCAAATTGAACTCCAACGCTGAGCGTAACGCGTTGTTTAAATTTGCGCGTCTGCATTGTCAGAAAACGAGACGCAAGTATCAATCCAAAATTTACATGCGCACCCTATTGACCATCTCCGTCATTTGCGTGGCCATGCTCAGCGCTAGCCGCGCTGTGGTCTACCCCTCCCCCCCACCCCCTCGAAGTGTCCAGCCGCACGGTCAACCCCGAGTTTGAGGTGCTCAGTCTACGAGGATCGATGAGCCACTCGAGGAGTCCAGCCAGCGTACCTCTGTGGCTGGTCAGTATGGCTGACCGCGAAGCAGTTCGAAGAGGAGCCGGGCCCCCGTCCGCGTGCGTCATTGCGTTGGCGTAGACACAGAAGAGTCAAGACCATCGTGTTATCCAGGGACTAGCGTGCATGTAGAGGGCGGAGTCCTGTCAGTGCAAATGCTCGTGTCGTCCGTCTTCGTCATTCGATGTCGACCGGCTCGAACGTTTGTGCGGCGTTGCACGAGAACAGAACAGCCTACGAGTGCCGGCGCGTGGAGGAGAGAAAAGAAGAAGTCGTGACTTACATCATCCGCAGACGCGTGACTAACAATCAATTTGTCAACACGGTGACATCATCTGACATGCGGAGCCAATCATCGATTCAACGTCGGACAATTACATCAGGAAAACCCAGATTCACTGATCAAGGATGATTATTCATAATTGTGGTACATTAGGCAGGCATTTAGCCAGGTTTATGGGATTTAGGACATATTAGCACTTAATAAGACTCTTATAACCTACACCACCAATGATTTCCCAGCTGCAACATAGCCGGGAAATCCGCGGCAGACATATGTGAGACCTAGCTGGATCCATGATCAACATCAGCTGTCATCCATGTTTGGACGCAAATGGGTCCATGCTGGATCCAGAGTGCCTGGAAACCAGCCGGAGACCCAGGTAGCTGCCTTGTAGCTTACCTGCTATAACAGACACAGTACACCGCCAACGGGATTCCAGCTGTATTACAGCTGGAAGATCCCCGGTGGACACATGTGATACCCGGCTGATTCCCGGATCAGCGCCACATGGTTTCCATGTTTGGTCGCAAATGGATCCATGCTGGGTCCAGAATGTCTGGGTGCCAGCTGGAAATCCAGATGTATATTGTATATTTTCCCTGGTAGCAACACAACCTGTCCCCCCTGGTACTTATTGATCACCTTATGGAAATATTAGATAGAAAAAAAATTTATTGCCAATATATTATGTACAGGAATACCGAGGTCCCTACGCGATGGTCGCCTCGGGTGCCCTTGCCGGCTCGTCCCCCCTTGTCCCCCCCTTTCCCTTTCCCCTCCCGCTAACGCCCCCCAGCCCCGCTCTTCCCGCGCCAAGCCATAGGGTGCAACACCGCGCAGACGCAAGCACTCGTTGCCGACGTCGCCGCACAGGCCGGCACCATCCGCTCGATCGGGCTCATCCTCCCCGACCCGATGTTCCGCAGGCCTGAAGACCCTGCTCACCACGACGAAGGCCGCGGACTTCGTCGGCGCCCGGCGCTCGCGGCCGTGCAGAAGACCGCAGACGGCCTCCTCGGCGACGGGCTTGCGAGCAGCGAGGACCTCGCGGGGAGTTGGCGCAGACTGTGGGAGGTCAGTGGTGGGGACAGATTGGGGGACGGACGCACGGCAGGTAAGGACAAGACAATCTGTCCCGCGACCCGCGACCGTCAATGCTAACACCATTGGCGGGCAAGCGTGGCAGTGGCCTTCGTAGCCGCGCATCGGCGGCCTGGGCTGCACTTGGTGGACGCATGAGTCAGGGAGGCGCGCAGAGGCGATCAGCACTCTGAAGGAGTAGTCAGCATTGTAGACCACTGTCGGTAGAGTGGGAGGGCCAAACCGTTGGGCAGGCAAGCACATCTTGAGGTGGGGCATGCTTGAGTGGCCGGGGCCGCACTTGACGGATGCGTGGGTCAGGGAGGCATGCAGAGGCGGGAGACACTTGCCTTTGGTTGAGATGCCCGAACTCTCCGACCTCCATGTGAGGCGCTCACTCTGGAGGAGGAGGGAAAAAGGAAGAAGGGATGAGTGTGACGGAAAATTTTCCTTGCCTAGGAACCGGATCAATTCCCGGTCGACGTGTGGCGTTGGGCGCTCGATCGTTGATCGTGTAAGGGCAACCCCGGAGGCCTGAGATCAAGGTCCTAGCAGGGGAGGATCCAAAGCGTGAACATTGGTAAGCAAATACAAATGAAGCTGACCTAGCAGGGGAGGATCCAAAGAGAAGAAACTCTAAGGGTCCGCCTGCTAGGGAGCTGGCTATATACTGCTTGTCCGTAGCTGCCGCTGTCGGGCACAGAAGGCTTGGGCGGCGTCGCAGGCAAGGTCCCAGGGCGACCGTTGGGAGGGTGTTGACAGATCGGTGATTGTACGGGCGAGATGGGGGGCCGGACCGGAGACGGAACCGGAATCGGACCGGAGACGGAGGCGTCTCCGAGGGGCCAAAAGGGGGGTTCCCCTGACAGATCGCAACAAGTCGGTCAGTGTAAGTTCACTGCTGGATGCCGGCCCTAAAGAATATCATGGTTTATTACAATTTATTTCTTGTCTGTATTGACTATTTGGTTGGCATATAGATTGAAAAATCTATGAACTACTAGAAATGGCAAATTTGGTCAATCTTCTACAGATTTCAAAGAAGTAAAAAAAAAAAAGTTTATGTGGGAGAAGGGCTAGGATGTAGACAATCATGTCATCTGGATTCCAGCTGGAATTTCCAGCTGAGCAGAACTGCTGGAATTCAGCTGGAAACCATCTGGACCCAGATGTTGAGTTATGTGGAAACCAGCTGGAATGTCCAGCTGATTGACAGCTGTGGACACTTTGGTGGTGTATGTAGGCAGGTAGGTAAAATGTCAAAAAAAAAAAACACAAAAATTGCACAAAAAAATTATAAAAGAGTAAGCAAATACACAGGTACTACTTGAACCCCACTACCAGCGCCACCAGATAAGCTGGGATGCCACCAGGCTGCAGGCCTGTGTCTGAATGCACCGCTCGTGTAGCATCTGCGATGCACTGGCGCCCGTGCCCAGCATGACGGCTCACGGGCCACTGGACAACCACCATAGCTCTCCTAAAACGACAACAGATGAGGCGGCGGAGTTGGCAAATGTGCCGCCTGCCATCAAGACTATTAAATAGAGTTAATGAGAGAAGACCACAAGTTAACGACACACCATGGGAGCACACAGCTGCCATGACACTGGTAGCAAAGGCAATGGCAGTTGGCTAAGGGGGGTCCAACGGGAGTTTGAAAGCAAATTTTTTTCCTTTGTTTGAAACAAAGAAATCTTTGTCTTTCTTTCCACTCCCGTTGGGTCTCCCATTAGCAAACTGCTGTTAGGTTTGCACCCAGTGTGACCAACACCTTGCTCCACACCTTTGTCAGTATACCCAGGCCCTATCGAACCATCAACACTTCATAGCATCACCAAAGATACAGGCTCATTGCAAGGCCTTGATCAATCATCAAGGTCAAATAAGGTCACATCAATCCTTCTTGCTTCCTGACCACCATCTTCCAATCATACCTCAAAGCTTTCTCCTGCACACAAGAGTGCAACCAGACTTCTATTGTGCTCTCAAGGCTGTCTCAAGGCTTGTGATTCTACCTCAAGGCACTGGCAAGGATTCTTATCTAGCATTTCCAGGGCCTTACACAGACATCAAAAACCTTTATCTAGCCTTGCCAACCTGTCTCAAGCCTTCTGGGGCCCTCTCAAGGCATGGTCTGAGCTGTGTTCTACCTTCTACGTGACTCAAAATGGTTTTTAGGCTCAATGAATCGCTCTGGCAACATTCAATGCTCATTCTGTCAAAAGTACTATAGGGAAGGCAAGTCTTATGACACTCACAGTGGAAAATGCGAAAAGAAGAAGGACTTTCTGGCAAAAGCTCAGGCGGAAGCAGCTGAGATGGAGGTAGAAGAGCGCCACGAGCGTGCTGCTGAGGCAGTTCAGGCTGAGGTTGCTGTACCAGAAGCAATAGAGGCACTCCAGGTGCGTGTTTTGAGTCGATTTCATGGTAGCTCAATACTCAGATTTTTATATAGCCACCACCCCCACCCCCACCAGTTCAATTTCGTGTCTCGGACGGTCGTCCTGAGCGCACAAACCGCCGCCTTCCCAAACGCTACATTCACCCACTTCCTGAGCTTCCGCCTGCGGCACTGCTCCCCCAGCCACTTCCTGAGCCACTGCCTATCCTTGATCCACCACAAATCAACACTCCAACCGCTCCGCGCTGGGTGGCTACTAAGCCAAACTGCTTTGGGGTGTACAAAGTGTATCCGCGACAGCCAACACATGACCCTGACCGTAAAAAAAACGGTTGGAGACCTCTGTCGGACATCAGAGCTTGAAGAAGCAGCACCAACAGAGCCTCAGCAGCCTTGGTATCACCCTTTCAGCAACGCGACACATGCCATGCTGATGAACTACCACCTGCTGGTGCCAAAAGGGTCTGAGGCAGGCAGCAACATGCTTTTCGACATGCTGCGCAATCCAGCAGGCGAATTCTGACAGGCAGACATTGGGGACTTCAGTGTTGCCAAGGGACATGCTGTCCTCGATAAAATTGCCTCAACACCTCCTGGCGAGCCTCCAAACGGCTGGAAAACTGGGTCTGTCACTCTCTCTATACCTCCTGGACGCAAATCCACCAAAGCCATGCTCGTAATAACCATCAATGACATCCTCTATCGACCGCTACTTGAAATCATCATGGAGGTCTTTTCTACATCCACTTTCTCTCGCCTCCATACCACCCCATTCTCTCTCCGCGTTGACCGAAATCACAACAAGGGCGACCCCGACCCATATTCTGCTGAATGTGAACTCAACAACTGCGGTCTTCCGCTCCTCCCCCCCAGTCACGACGAGCTGTATGGCGAGATGTATAGTGCCCAACGCACACTGGACTCATATCACAAGCTTCCTGCCTCTGAGAGCTTCCTACATTCCTCAATGTCATGGTGTTCATGTGCTCATGGGTGGCCAGGACATCCTTCTCAAACTTCGTTCTGCTGCCCGCCCGCCGGCTCGAGCCTGACCATCCTGCTGATCAAACCTACCAGCCCCACGAGCTGCTCGAAGTCCACTTCAAGGACAGCCGGATCTATACACATGCAACGATGAGACTGAATTACACAACATACGACTTACAGCGTGACCAGGACATGATAAGCCCCCGGACCCATCCTGACCTAATGCTTCTTTCAACCGATCCGAGCGACACCCATCCATATGAATATGCCCGGGTTGTCGCCATATGCCACGCAAATGTCAAGCTGCCAGCGACGACCGGTTACAAATCCCTCGAGTTCTTATTCATTCGCCGTTTTGAGCGCGACACGTGTGTTTGCTGCATCCCCCACAGGCCACGAAACCCTCGTCTCCACTTCGTCGACTACCGCAACCCAGACGCATTTGGGTTTATCGACCCAGCTGTTGTCGTTCGGGCCTCTTATGTCATCCCCGCATTTGCTTCAGGAACGACGACCAAATTCCTCCCGCCCTCGATTATCCGTCCCGATTCGGACAACGATGAAGACTATCACGCCTACTATGTGAACGGGCGTGGTCGATCGCGACATGTTCATGCATTTCCAGTGGGAAGCGATTGGACATCGGCATGTGTGGGAGGGTACAGTGGCGGGTGAGGATGATGATTGGGAGGACGAGCTGCGAACCCCTGCCAACCCGAATGAATGTCGAGTCGGACATGGAGGAAGCGAGTGCACAGCGACGAGCGCGAGCAGACGACACCAAAGACAGGGAGGAGACCGAACTTGATGAGTTCATGGAGTCAGATCAGGAAGATGAACAAGACAGTGGTGCAGTCGAAGAAGAAGGTGGCGAAGCAGGCACTGTTCTGGTTGGAGACGACGCAGAGTATGATGCAGGACGCAGAGTATGATGCAGCCGGGCTGGATCCATCGTAGAGTATCGATCGTAGAGTATCAAAAAAATCCATTGATTGCCTTTAATTCTGAGAGAAATGGTCAGCAGACGCCAATAAGCAGCAAGTAGCCTGATGTGCTTACCTCAACAAGAGTGGCGGGTGTGTTTGGTCAGCATGGTGCGGAGTCCGAGAGGCAGTGAGATCGCTGTCAGACAAGTTGGGTGGGCAGCAGGAGAGTTGGGTGGGCAGCAGGGTGTGGCAGAAGAGAGATACGAGTAGCGGCGGCCAGCTGGTGAAGAGAGAAAGAGAAGAAGGATGTACTTCGCTGGCACTGGTATTGATCTGTGATGCCCGGCGCGTCGCTGTGATGCCCGGCGCGTCGCGTCGCGTCACACCCATTCCTTCTTCTCTCTCGACCACGACCACCCCCCCCACGACTCGGTATCCTCTCCATGCCGCCTGGCGCCGCAGCTCATGGCCGCTCCCGCCTCCAGCTTGCCCTTGCGGACCTTTCCAACACCCAGCTCAGCAATGTCAATCTCATACGCGTCAAGCTGGGCTTTTTCGCGATGGACACCGACGGTAATACTGTCCGGCCTGCAGCGGCAAACGGAGATGGCGAAGAGGAGGAGGATGGACCACCGCGTAAGCGGGCAAAGACGACGAATGATGATTTCACGATATACGAGTGTGTCACCGTTTTTTGCGCGTCATTCCAGCTAAACTGACTTTTCAGCCCCGACAAAGATGTATTCACGCACATTATCTGCTCCGGGCACTTCTATCGTCTCGCAGTTCACGCCACCGACAGCTTCAAGAACACTGCTCTCCATGGCGCTACTGCAAAGTGGAGCTCTGCACGCGCCCTCTCGACACTTGTTCCAGACCGTCCGTGCGTGATGAGACTCGGCTATATAACTGTTGGCTTACTCTGCTTACAGTGCAGACAAGGCTGCTCACGAGCGCTATGTCACCAATTTCGCTGTCTGGTTCGACCACACAACAACCTTCAACGCCGAGCACGAACTGGAGCCCATCCTTCGCTTCATCTTCATCCACCAGGCAAAGGTCTGGTCCGCACTTGTCGATGTGGTATGTCTTGTCCTATTCATTTCCGAGCCCTGAGCTTTTCACTCCAGATCCATGACGCGTCGCAGACAGAACACGAGCAGAACACGAACAAGCTCAAGTGCCAATTCACGTACCTCGTTCCCGAACCAAGTCAAGGCCATAGTCTTCACCCTCCGCTTATTGAGAGCGATGAAAGCAAATCCAATCGTGGGTCAAATCATCCCGTCTGCCGCGCATACCTGCTACCACCATCCGAACACGCCAAGTTTCCGGAGTTGACATTTACAGCTGCTGATGCCATGTACGTCGAGTTTTTGGTTTGTCAAGGCTTCACACTCAATTATCTACAGTGCTGAATACTTGTACGCCGGATATCGCCTTACCTTGTCACGATGCTAAGTGAGCTGTTCAGTCTCGAAGCCCAACAGTATGTCATTTTCCTCTGTCGATTGCCGATGCTTCCCATATGCATAGAATCATCACCGACCTTGCGAATGGCAAATATCGCTACAGCAACGCCAAGTTTCCGTCCATCTTCTGGCGGGACTACTCAACGCTCCAACCTGGCAACACCCAGTAGGCAATGGCATGAGTAAACCCTTGGGTATCCAGAGCCTTACTCATACTCGTACCTGCACAGCCACCATACCCATACCCATGGGTAGGGGTATGAGTAGTCATGAGTATGGGTATGGGTTTTACTCATGGGTAACCTAGCTGGAGTATTAGAGTCAATCAAGGCTTAATACCGAGGCCATGCACCTTCAGTCGTCTCCTTGACAGCACCGCTCGGCGTCTTTGCAGCGTTGGCCGCACGACCTAGCTGGAGTATTAGAGTCAATCAAGGCTTAATACCAAGGCCACACACCTTCAGTTGTCTTCTTGACAGCCTTTCGACCCGCCGCTTCGCGAGGAGTGTCTGTGACCAGTTGTGGGACCGGATCTGGTGCAGCTTTGCGGGCGTGTTTCGGTTCAGAAGGTGTCGGGACAGTGGGTGATGTGTTGAGCGTTGTAGATGCCGCTGAATTGGCGGCTGTGGCACCCACCGAATGACATGAGATCAAGAGCTAAGATGGAGAGATCGATTGCACGTGGCGATCGATCTCAATTGTGGCATGCGGCGATCAATGGATATATCACATCTTATCTGATCTACCCATGGGTTATGCACCCATGGGTCGGCAGGTAGGAATTTTCCGATCTATACCCGTACCCGCGCGGGTAAAACCCGCGTACCCGCACGGGTATACCTTCACACTGGGGTTTCCCACAAAAACAGCGGCCCAAAGCAGGATTTATTTGTGAGAAAGTTGCTGCCAAAAATGGTCGCCCAATTGGACTCAAATCCAGTCCCCTGATGTGACTCGCAAATTACCAAATAAGGTAATTCCCGGTCACGTGCAGTCAAATCAGGGCGCTTATTTTTTCTGAAAATCAGCTCCGTTGTTTTGTACCCGCATTTGTTACAAATAAGTCCTCCTTCGGGGGCCGTTTTTTGGCGGAAACCCCGGAGTGCTTACCCGTGCCATTGCCTAACACCCGGGATGGTTTATTCCTGGGGTTTCCGGTTATTTGTGTGAGCTTGCAATGTTGATTCGATATTTGACGGCTGACCAACTCCAAGTTTGCAAGATTCCTCTGGATTGGAAAGCTCAAGTCACTTCAAGGTCTAACTGGCGATGACCCCATCCCCCCTCGCTGCAACGCTCGGGCGCCATCGCATATATAAATTCATGGCCCGCATGCTTGGATACACGTTCTTGTAAGGGCAACCCCGGAGGCCTGAGATCAAGGTCCTAGCAGGGGAGGATCCAAAGCATGAACATTGGTAAGCAAATACAAATGAAGCTGACCTAGCAGGGGAGGATCCAAAGAGAAGAAACTCTAAGGGTCCGCCTGCTAGGGAGCTGGCTATATACTGCTTGTCCGTAGCTGGGGCCGAAAGGGGGGTTTCCCTGACAGTTCTGTCAAGTGTGTGTTGACCTCCATTCCGTGTTCCCTACAGCTGATTACTGCGAGCTCCGGACCATGTTGCAGGACAGCCCGTGGAAGCGGAAAATTGGCGCATACAGCTATGACGAGCTGTTCAATGGTGTCATCAAGCTCTTGGAGACGAAGGACAAACCGGAGGTGGAAGCATGGGCCCAAGCAACGCTCGACGAGCTCACCGAGTTCGTGTCCTCTCCGGTCGAGTTTGTGCTGACCACTGATTAGCGCCATCTTCAACGGCAATGACCTGCAAAGCTTCGACCATGCCCTCCAGAACCTCTCAAACGCTGCTGATGACCTGCTCGCTGAGTTTATGTAGTATATTCCGGTAAGACATACCCTCCTTCCTGGTACGTGCTGATCTGGCAATTCACAGACATGCTTTTCTTTCAATCACAATGCTCAAGTAAGCTCATGTTTATCCATCGAGTCTGTTCACTCACCTATTATTTTGTGAGGTTTCTTATCTGCCGCTGCTGCTTTTCTCTGCATTGTTCTCCTGGTATGTTGTTCTTCATCTCAATTGCTTGCTTGCTGATGTATTAAAGCCATCACACTCTCTCGTCACTTACTCACCTGCATGTGCTTCTACTAATAGTATTGGAGTTAGAAATATAATTTGTATTATAATATTTGTGGGAGCATTTGTGAAGGTATTGAGGCTTTGGGATCTGTCTGCAAGGTTCTTGCAAGGCTTCCACAAGTCCCCTACAAGGGCCATAGGAGTAAATGAGGCTGTCAAGGAATCAGAGCATTTAAAGGAATCTCATGCTTGCAAGGTGCTCAAGGCCCCAAGGCAATTGCAAGGATGAGAGTCCCATAAATGCAAACATGGCCTTGGAGTGCTTGCAGGCACCTTTATGAGCCTTGTGAATTTTAAACGTCACCTGGAATCTGTTCAGAAGCCCTTTGAGCCATTTCCAGTCCCTTGGGGCACTTCCAAGGACCTCTTAAGGGCCTGGAAATGAGTGTACAGTTCTCGTGATGACTACTGCAGAGATGAAGCATCACGCACCTCGTGTCTGGGAAGCCCGGCCGGTCTGCCACCTTGGGCGGAAGTACACCACATCCACTGTGCCGTTCTCGACAAATGCACTCTCCGCCATCTAGCTCATGCGATCTCTGGGCTCCATGGCAAACGTGAAGTCTGCACTGTGAGGCTTAGAGACATTGCTGAGGATAGTGTCAGTAATGCGGCGGCTGAGGAAGGTGGTACCCACATTTGGATGCCACCGTTGTTTGGCAGCATTTAACTGCTCTTCCAAAAAAGGCAATCACTAATAAATGCCACATAAGTCCCAGTATGTAACTTTTTTTAAGTTGGGAATGCCTCATTGAGGTAACATATATAACTTTATACTATCATAGTTAGTTCCAGTCAAATCCACCAAGAAATACAGTGTAAATATCAATTAACTATCTATAAATCAACTATCTATATAGATTGAATGACTGTATGATCTTGCATAGATAGTGTTGAATTCACCTGCTATACTGGAGTATTGTGAATGTGATGCTAGGTTTGTAAGTATAAGAGTAGGTAATAGTGCTGGCCAAATATGATTATATTATTTTATGGGCAGAATATATTATAGTCATATCATATTCAGAGCTCCAACACAATAATATACTTGTAGTATAGTATAATCATATTCAGCAGCAAAATATGAATATGAAATGAATATATTCAACTATAATCTAGTCTGCGTATCTCTTCGTATATTTGATATATTTACTGCTAGAAAAAGATTCAAAACATAAGATACATGCTGGATTGTCAGGGCAACTTCCTATTAGGCCTCTCTAATTCCAACCTTGGCTATATAGGACTCTCAAGATACAATCAGGGACATTGTCACTAGCATTAGGTTGGCCTGTAGACACTTGATCAGGGGTTCTACACTATGTTTAATATGGTCAACCCAAAGTGATCACTCCTGACACTTGTTCCTAATAGGTGTAATGTATGAATCACCATAGATAATAGATAATATGTGACATTTATTATAAGTAAGGCTAACTCAGACTAAGATTAGTACTATGACTGAGTACATGGACTAAGAAAATAGCTGTGATCATCCACCTTACTATATTTGAATATTCTGTGACTATAATATAGTATAGTCATAATATAATATAATATAGTCATAATATAATATAATATATTCCAACATAATCATATTCAAGTGATCCACCAAGGGCATAATATATTCATAATATTCTGAATATATTCAATATTTAATCAACTATAATATAATTCTGGCCAGCACTAGTAGGTAATATATTGTTTCATATTATGATTTTAATTTTTTCACATGGCTACTACAGCTCTGTCATATGAGGACAACATTGTCTTGGGTGTCTCACTCCGTTCGCTTAGATCACACAAAGAGGCTCGGGAGAGAGTCAAACTAGGTAGGCATTTGTTATTCATGGGCTAGGAGGAATCAGGCACAGCCTGCTCCTGGGCACGACGCTGAGGTCGGAGGATGAACCCCAGGTCGCTACAAATATCTACCTATCATTGTTAGTGTATGAAGAAAAGGAGAGGGTGGGTGGGCTGAAGCTGGTCGTTGGTGTCGTGTAGTTGATGCGGTGTGTCAGGAAGAGACAGGTATGACAGGGTGACGGTCACACCTGCATCACTTCACTCCACCCAAAACAGCGCACTTCTTCCGACGCGCCTTCAGAAGTGCTTCATAATGGCTACTACAGCTCTGTCATATGAGGACAACATTGATGATCTCAGTTAAAGTTACTGAAAAAGATTAGAGCTGCCAGAAGCCACCAAGGCTACATATGGATTGATATACTTAGTCACCAAAACAGTCAATCAACAGATATTGCGTAGATCAGGAGGACACCTGCAAAGTTTGTCATAAATTTTATTGCGCTACTGAAAATGTGCAGAAAAATCAAAAAACGCGAAAATTGTTACAATAAGTAGCGGGGAATATTTCCCCAAAGTGACTACCATAGGGTGGCGGCGGTGGACGCACGATGACAGCGCTGCCAGTGGAGCGTGCTACAGACTGTGGGAGAGATTCAGCTCTTGGTCGGGGTCCCTCTCATGCATATCTGTACTTGTCGCGGCATCTCCCACGTCGTTTGACGCAACGGCTTCGACAAGGGTGAGTGGCGAAGTCCATGATTATGTCAGATTAAGTACTTCGCCGCGCACCCACCGCTGTGACGGGCGCGGCAGCGTGACAGAGGTGCGCAAGGGGGGTTCATCATTCGAATCACGGATATAGGGTCAGAAAGTTTTTTTCCGACCCTCTGGGCCCCCCCCCCCCCCTCCTGCCCTATATAGTAATATATTCTCACGATCAGCATCATGTGACCACTGATGCGATCAAAAGGTGGCATAAAAAATTCAATCTTTGGAAAACTTTTTTTTGAAATTTTTTTATGGATGGGTATGTGTATAGGTATAGGTATGTATGTACCTGAAACCTTTAAACACCCATGGAAGGCCATATCGAGTCATGAGTATGCTCACCTGCCTGATGATGACCAGGTCACACCATGATCACACCTTGGGCTTTCCAAGCTTATAGGCCTGGAAGTTGATGTATATAATTAATTTACAAGTATGAGGGCTGAGAACTATAGAAATTGAAGTATATGGACTGTATTTTTGATGTCCCTATCCCTATATAAGCCTGAAATCTTTCATATATAAAAAAGATTTTTTTTACCCCCCAGGGACCCCCACCCTATGTGCCCGATAAGGATCTTGAACCCCCTTGGAGGTGGCGGCGATGACGCGGCGGTGCGGTGGGTAGGTGCGCGGCGGTACACGGCGAAATATATGATCCCGCAAGAAAGGACTTGACATTCCCTCAGGCGAGTCCTGTTCCATTGTCTAACGCTCCGCACAGCGTTATTTGTTTCCCGACAGCCCACCGCCATGCGTACCGCTCTCGCCATTTCCGTTATTTCCGCCGTCATCATGATTCATGGCCACAGCCGCTGAACCCGTGCCCAGCTCGGAGGCCAAGTCCCGACATTAATATTGCGGCTCGAGCGCCCGACGGACGCCACCCTCCAAAGAGCTCCAATCAAGCCTGTGAACAACCCTGCAAGTCTCAGAGTGTAAACGGCTCGGAGGGGAGGGTCTATTTATTACTTGTATTGTTGATATCTAAACTAGCCATATTACCTAGGCCTTGCTCCGCGGGCCTTGTCCCCCCTCCCCGCGGCCGTGTCCGTGTCCGTGTCCAGCGTCCTCCGTGCATCTCTGCGAACAGCAAACACGAGGAGCACGAAGACGCATGCGCCAGCAAGTGCCATGACCTGCCAGTGAACCGTGTCGTCAACATCAAGACGACAAGGGAAAGCATGAGACTGAGAGACGCACACCGCTGAAGACCGCAGCGCGCCACCAGCGGTAGCCGTCCGTCAGGAGCGCGCCGCTGATTGGCGGCGCAACGAGCCCACCGAGGGCAACAACGGCGAAGAAGATGCCCATGTCACGTGCAGTCAAATCAGGGCGCTTATTTTTTCTGAAAATCAGCTCCGTTGTTTTGTACCCGCATTTGTTACAAATAAGTCCTCCTTCGGGGGCCGTTTTTTGGCGGAAACCCCGGAGTGCTTACCCGTGCCATTGCCTAACACCCGGGATGGTTTATTCCTGGGGTTTCCGGTTATTTGTGTGAGCTTGCAATGTTGATTCGATATTTGACGGCTGACCAACTCCAAGTTTGCAAGATTCCTCTGGATTGGAAAGCTCAAGTCACTTCAAGGTCTAACTGGCGATGACCCCATCCCCCCTCGCTGCAACGCTCGGCGCCATCGCATATATAAATTCACGGCCCGCATGCTTGGATACACGTTCTTGTAAGGGCAACCCCGGAGGCCTGAGATCAAGGTCCTAGCAGGGGAGGATCCAAAGCATGAACATTGGTAAGCAAATACAAATGAAGCTGACCTAGCAGGGGAGGATCCAAAGAGAAGAAACTCTAAGGGTCCGCCTGCTAGGGAGCTGGCTATATACTGCTTGTCCGTAGCTGGGGCCGAAAGGGGGGGTTTCCCTGACAGTTCTGTCAAGTGTGTGTTGACCTCCATTCCGTGTTCCCTACAGCTGATTACTGCGAGCTCCGGACCATGTTGCAGGACAGCCCGTGGAAGCGGAAAATTGGCGCATACAGCTATGACGAGCTGTTCAATGGTGTCATCAAGCTCTTGGAGACGAAGGACAAACCGGAGGTGGAAGCATGGGCCCAAGCAACGCTCGACGAGCTCACCGAGTTCGTGTCCTCTCCGGTCGAGTTTGTGCTGACCACTGATTAGCGCCATCTTCAACGGCAATGACCTGCAAAGCTTCGACCATGCCCTCCAGAACCTCTCAAACGCTGCTGATGACCTGCTCGCTGAGTTTATGTAGTATATTCCGGTAAGACATACCCTCCTTCCTGGTACGTGCTGATCTGGCAATTCACAGACATGCTTTTCTTTCAATCACAATGCTCAAGTAAGCTCATGTTTATCCATCGAGTCTGTTCACTCACCTATTATTTTGTGAGGTTTCTTATCTGCCGCTGCTGCTTTTCTCTGCATTGTTCTCCTGGTATGTTGTTCTTCATCTCAATTGCTTGCTTGCTGATGTATTAAAGCCATCACACTCTCTCGTCACTTACTCACCTGCATGTGCTTCTACTAATAGTATTGGAGTTAGAAATATAATTTGTATTATAATATTTGTGGGAGCATTTGTGAAGGTATTGAGGCTTTGGGATCTGTCTGCAAGGTTCTTGCAAGGCTTCCACAAGTCCCCTACAAGGGCCATAGGAGTAAATGAGGCTGTCAAGGAATCAGAGCATTTAAAGGAATCTCATGCTTGCAAGGTGCTCAAGGCCCCAAGGCAATTGCAAGGATGAGAGTCCCATAAATGCAAACATGGCCTTGGAGTGCTTGCAGGCACCTTTATGAGCCTTGTGAATTTTAAACGTCACCTGGAATCTGTTCAGAAGCCCTTTGAGCCATTTCCAGTCCCTTGGGGCACTTCCAAGGACCTCTTAAGGGCCTGGAAATGAGTGTACAGTTCTCGTGATGACTACTGCAGAGATGAAGCATCACGCACCTCGTGTCTGGGAAGCCCGGCCGGTCTGCCACCTTGGGCGGAAGTACACCACATCCACTGTGCCGTTCTCGACAAATGCACTCTCCGCCATCTAGCTCATGCGATCTCTGGGCTCCATGGCAAACGTGAAGTCTGCACTGTGAGGCTTAGAGACATTGCTGAGGATAGTGTCAGTAATCGGGCGGCTGAGGAAGGTGGTACCCACATTTGGATGCCACCGTTGTTTGGCAGCATTTAACTGCTCTTCCAAAAAAGGCAATCACTAATAAATGCCACATAAGTCCCAGTATGTAACTTTTTTTTAAGTTGGGAATGCCTCATTGAGGTAACATATATAACTTTATACTATCATAGTTAGTTCCAGTCAAATCCACCAAGAAATACAGTGTAAATATCAATTAACTATCTATAAATCAACTATCTATATAGATTGAATGACTGTATGATCTTGCATAGATAGTGTTGAATTCACCTGCTATACTGGAGTATTGTGAATGTGATGCTAGGTTTGTAAGTATAAGAGTAGGTAATAGTGCTGGCCAAATATGATTATATTATTTTATGGGCAGAATATATTATAGTCATATCATATTCAGAGCTCCAACACAATAATATACTTGTAGTATAGTATAATCATATTCAGCAGCAAAATATGAATATGAAATGAATATATTCAACTATAATCTAGTCTGCGTATCTCTTCGTATATTTGATATATTTACTGCTAGAAAAAGATTCAAAACATAAGATACATGCTGGATTGTCAGGGCAACTTCCTATTAGGCCTCTCTAATTCCAACCTTGGCTATATAGGACTCTCAAGATACAATCAGGGACATTGTCACTAGCATTAGGTTGGCCTGTAGACACTTGATCAGGGGTTCTACACTATGTTTAATATGGTCAACCCAAAGTGATCACTCCTGACACTTGTTCCTAATAGGTGTAATGTATGAATCACCATAGATAATAGATAATATGTGACATTTATTATAAGTAAGGCTAACTCAGACTAAGATTAGTACTATGACTGAGTACATGGACTAAGAAAATAGCTGTGATCATCCACCTTACTATATTTGAATATTCTGTGACTATAATATAGTATAGTCATAATATAATATAATATAGTCATAATATAATATAATATATTCCAACATAATCATATTCAAGTGATCCACCAAGGGCATAATATATTCATAATATTCTGAATATATTCAATATTTAATCAACTATAATATAATTCTGGCCAGCACTAGTAGGTAATATATTGTTTCATATTATGATTTTAATTTTTTCACATGGCTACTACAGCTCTGTCATATGAGGACAACATTGTCTTGGGTGTCTCACTCCGTTCGCTTAGATCACACAAAGAGGCTCGGGAGAGAGTCAAACTAGGTAGGCATTTGTTATTCATGGGCTAGGAGGAATCAGGCACAGCCTGCTCCTGGGCACGACGCTGAGGTCGGAGGATGAACCCCAGGTCGCTACAAATATCTACCTATCATTGTTAGTGTATGAAGAAAAGGAGAGGGTGGGTGGGCTGAAGCTGGTCGTTGGTGTCGTGTAGTTGATGCGGTGTGTCAGGAAGAGACAGGTATGACAGGGTGACGGTCACACCTGCATCACTTCACTCCACCCAAGACAGCGCACTTCTTCCGACGCGCCTTCAGAAGTGCTTCATAATGGCTACTACAGCTCTGTCATATGAGGACAACATTGATGATCTCAGTTAAAGTTACTGAAAAAGATTAGAGCTGCCAGAAGCCACCAAGGCTACATATGGATTGATATACTTAGTCACCAAAACAGTCAATCAACAGATATTGCGTAGATCAGGAGGACACCTGCAAAGTTTGTCATAAATTTTATTGCGCTACTGAAAATGTGCAGAAAAATCGCGCAAAACGCGAAAATTGTTACAATAAGTAGCGGGGGAATATTTCCCCAAAGTGACTACCATAGGGTGGCGGCGGTGGACGCACGATGACAGCGCTGCCAGTGGAGCGTGCTACAGACTGTGGGAGAGATTCAGCTCTTGGTCGGGGTCCCTCTCATGCATATCTGTACTTGTCGCGGCATCTCCCACGTCGTTTGACGCAACGGCTTCGACAAGGGTGAGTGGCGAAGTCCATGATTATGTCAGATTAAGTACTTCGCCGCGCACCCACCGCTGTGACGGGCGCGGCAGCGTGACAGAGGTGCGCAAGGGGGGTTCATCATTCGAATCACGGATATAGGGTCAGAAAGTTTTTTTCCGACCCTCTGGGCCCCCCCCCCTCCCCCCTCCTGCCCTATATAGTAATATATTCTCACGATCAGCATCATGTGACCACTGATGCGATCAAAAGGTGGCATAAAAAATTCAATCTTTGGAAAACTTTTTTTTTGAAATTTTTTTATGGATGGGTATGTGTATAGGTATAGGTATGTATGTACCTGAAACCTTTAAACACCCATGGAAGGCCATATCGAGTCATGAGTATGCTCACCTGCCTGATGATGACCAGGTCACACCATGATCACACCTTGGGCTTTCCAAGCTTATAGGCCTGGAAGTTGATGTATATAATTAATTTACAAGTATGAGGGCTGAGAACTATAGAAATTGAAGTATATGGACTGTATTTTTGATGTCCCTATCCCTATATAAGCCTGAAATCTTTCATATATAAAAAGTTTTTTTTACCCCCCAGGGACCCCCCCACCCTATGTGCCCGATAAGGATCTTGAACCCCCCTTGGAGGTGCGCGGCGATGACGCGGCGGTGCGCGGTAGGTGCGCGGCGGTACACGGCGAAATATATGATCCCGCAAGAAAGGACTTGACATTCCCTCAGGCGAGTCCTGTTCCATTGTCTAACGCTCCGCACAGCGTTATTTGTTTCCCGACAGCCCACCGCCATGCGTACCGCTCTCGCCATTTCCGTTATTTCCGCCGTCATCATGATTCATGGCCACAGCCGCTGAACCCGTGCCCAGCTCGGAGGCCAAGTCCCGACATTAATATTGCGGCTCGAGCGCCCGACGGACGCCACCCTCCAAAGAGCTCCAATCAAGCCTGTGAACAACCCTGCAAGTCTCAGAGTGTAAACGGCTCGGAGGGGAGGGTCTATTTATTACTTGTATTGTTGATATCTAAACTAGCCATATTACCTAGGCCTTGCTCCGCGCGGGCCTTGTCCCCCCCTCCCGCGCGGCCGTGTCCGTGTCCGTGTCCAGCGTCCTCCGTGCATCTCTGCGAACAGCAAACACGAGGAGCACGAAGACGCATGCGCCAGCAAGTGCCATGACCTGCCAGTGAACCGTGTCGTCAACATCAAGACGACAAGGGAAAGCATGAGACTGAGAGACGCACACCGCTGAAGACCGCAGCGCGCCACCAGCGGTAGCCGTCCGTCAGGAGCGCGCCGCTGATTGGCGGCGCAACGAGCCCACCGAGGGCAACAACGGCGAAGAAGATGCCCATGTCACGTGCAGTCAAATCAGGGCGCTTATTTTTTCTGAAAATCAGCTCCGTTGTTTTGTACCCGCATTTGTTACAAATAAGTCCTCCTTCGGGGGCCGTTTTTTGGCGGAAACCCCGGAGTGCTTACCTGTGCCATTGCCTAACACCCCGGGATGGTTTATTCCTGGGGTTTCCGGTTATTTGTGTGAGCTTGCAATGTTGATTCGATATTTGACGGCTGACCAACTCCAAGTTTGCAAGATTCCTCTGGATTGGAAAGCTCAAGTCACTTCAAGGTCTAACTGGCGATGACCCCATCCCCCTCGCTGCAACGCTCGGCGCCATCGCATATATAAATTCACGGCCCGCATGCTTGGATACACGTTCTTGTAAGGGCAACCCCGGAGGCCTGAGATCAAGGTCCTAGCAGGGGAGGATCCAAAGCATGAACATTGGTAAGCAAATACAAATGAAGCTGACCTAGCAGGGGAGGATCCAAAGAGAAGAAACTCTAAGGGTCCGCCTGCTAGGGAGCTGGCTATATACTGCTTGTCCGTAGCTGGGGCCGAAAGGGGGGTTTCCCTGACAGTTCTGTCAAGTGTGTGTTGACCTCCATTCCGTGTTCCCTACAGCTGATTACTGCGAGCTCCGGACCATGTTGCAGGACAGCCCGTGGAAGCGGAAAATTGGCGCATACAGCTATGACGAGCTGTTCAATGGTGTCATCAAGCTCTTGGAGACGAAGGACAAACCGGAGGTGGAAGCATGGGCCCAAGCAACGCTCGACGAGCTCACCGAGTTCGTGTCCTCTCCGGTCGAGTTTGTGCTGACCACTGATTAGCGCCATCTTCAACGGCAATGACCTGCAAAGCTTCGACCATGCCCTCCAGAACCTCTCAAACGCTGCTGATGACCTGCTCGCTGAGTTTATGTAGTATATTCCGGTAAGACATACCCTCCTTCCTGGTACGTGCTGATCTGGCAATTCACAGACATGCTTTTCTTTCAATCACAATGCTCAAGTAAGCTCATGTTTATCCATCGAGTCTGTTCACTCACCTATTATTTTGTGAGGTTTCTTATCTGCCGCTGCTGCTTTTCTCTGCATTGTTCTCCTGGTATGTTGTTCTTCATCTCAATTGCTTGCTTGCTGATGTATTAAAGCCATCACACTCTCTCGTCACTTACTCACCTGCATGTGCTTCTACTAATAGTATTGGAGTTAGAAATATAATTTGTATTATAATATTTGTGGGAGCATTTGTGAAGGTATTGAGGCTTTGGGATCTGTCTGCAAGGTTCTTGCAAGGCTTCCACAAGTCCCCTACAAGGGCCATAGGAGTAAATGAGGCTGTCAAGGAATCAGAGCATTTAAAGGAATCTCATGCTTGCAAGGTGCTCAAGGCCCCAAGGCAATTGCAAGGATGAGAGTCCCATAAATGCAAACATGGCCTTGGAGTGCTTGCAGGCACCTTTATGAGCCTTGTGAATTTTAAACGTCACCTGGCGCGTGCCACGCCCATTGGTCGGCTTGGCACGCCCGTTTGTCGGCTTGGCACGCCCGACAAATGGGCGTGGGCTTCCCAATATTCCAAGTCCTCCCGACATTACAAGGCGTGGCCGGTCAATCGTTGACCGCCGACCACCAACACTTGGCCCGCGCAGCCACCAGAGTGACTATCACTGGCGGGTGGCCGAGTCCACATCGCCCGGCCACGCCGGCTGGTCCGCCACACACCCCTTCAGTCCGGTCAGTGCGCCGAATCGTGTCCGGCACGGTGTACTGTTGAGCCACAGCCCATTTCAGGCTGTCTTGAAGCTATTCAGCTCCAATATGGGGCGGCGCAGTGCCAAAATTGCTGCACTGCGGCTTGCCGCGGACCGGACGCCGGTTGGCGCTTGGCGGGGATCGGCCGGCCCAGGGGTGCCAGCAAACTCTTCTGGCGTCGCCGGCCAACGGTTGAGCGACGACTCCGATATGGACCTAAGTCGAACTCGGCAACATACAGGCCTTATCCTCGTCAACGTGGTCCTTGCCAAGAGCGCTTGGCATCGCGGCGGACGATGATCGGCGGAGTTTGATGGATTTCACGGCGTAGGCATATGCAGTATCGAGCGGGGGTTAGCCATCGCATGGCCGTCAAGCAAATCCAATCCTCGCCTTGGTGCCCGACATGAGGCCCAAAGAAGTCCCCACGCCCGCCCACGCCACGCCCACGCCATCACGGGCGTGCACGCCCGTTGGCGCAGGCCCACGCCGTTTGGCCACGCCCATGTGCGAAGTCTCCGGAGCCTGGGGACCAAAGTGCTGAGTATCATCCAACCTCTGAGACGAAAACATACCCTAGTTCGCCCATGTCCTTCGTCAAAAACGCGACGAGCGGCGGGCTGAGGGTGATGTCTGTCTGCATCAGCCTCCAGCAGGAGATGTAGCAGAGGAATAGGACGCACATAGCCCTGCACACAGCCCATAGAGGACACCGATAATGACGAAGCTCGCGACACTTTTGAGTGCAATCATCGCGAAGATCAAGATGCTGGCGCAAAACGCGGCGCCGGTGACTAGGTAAACGATGCCGAACGGGCCCAGGTGCGGGAGCAGCACGCCGGGCGAGAGACGGCCGAGCACAGACGCAGAGTTCATAATGACGAGCTTGCGAATTGTTACACAAAATACCCAGCGAAAGGCACGGTGTGGCGCACCGCATAGAACGCGAAGCCCTCATCGATGCCATGCTTGACCGCATTGAGCTGGAAGTAGAAGATGGGGAAGTTGGGCCCCATCGTGAACAGCGTCATCCTCCAAACCGCATCAGAAGAGAGAAATCCAACTCGCGACAGCAGACATACCCTATCGTGGCGAGAACAAACACCCTGTCCCCAGAGAACCGCCTGACCGACGCCCACAGCGGCGCCTACTCGCGCGGGGGCGGCAAGCGCGAGCGCATCAGTAGACATGCGATGAGCACCATTCCTGAGACGAGCCCCGCACTCGCGCGAACGGCGACAGCAAACCCCCGCGTCTTCAGCAGATTGTTGAGGAGAATGGGGTGTATGACTGCTCCGAGGGAGGACCCGCTCGCGACAATTGTCAGTGCAAGTGCGCGTCTGCGCTGGAAGTAGTGAGAGACGACAGAAACGGATGGGACATAGACGATGCCCGCGCCGACGGCGACCCCGACGCCTTGTGCGAGGAATATCTGGTAGAGCTGTTGCGGCCTGCAGAGCGAGAGCATGAAGAGACTAAAGCATTGGAGGAGACAGCCGCCATAAAGGAGGTGGTAGCTGGTAATGCGTCAGATTACTAGCGAAGAGGATGGAGCGGACACACAAGTAGCCGCAGTCGAACAGCCGTCCAGATACCAATCCACCAAAGACGATTAAAAAAGCATTGACACTGCCAATCCACCTAGAATTTCAAATCAATGAAGGCAGAGAATAGGACAGGACAAGACGGACGCGATGGTCGATGGCGAGCGTGTGGAGAGATAATCTCGGGTATAGAAATCTGAGAAAAAGCATGAGTGAGAACGAAGAATGAGAGACAAAAGACAACGCGCCTTGATAGACGCCAAACGACGTCATGTACCCAAAGCCCACAAACTGGATGCACCACCTATCGCCAAGTCAGTGGCCCTCCCAAACGCGCAACACTTCAGCACGCACGCTCCGCCCACAGTCGCCCACGCACGGGCACCGCCCTCAGGAAACGCCACTGCTGCCATATCTTCAAGACCACTAAGACCACTGCCCGATGTCGAAGCTTTTATACCTCGCCCAGCCACCGTAAGCCATTTACGCTGCCTGACGCGCGCTGGCGTGGCTCCGAATGCATTCCCCCGCAGCCGCGGCGGCCATCACGAGCGACGCTGGCCCATGCACGGATGCGCGCCCGAGCACGTGTGAGCGTCAGCAGCTGGTCGTCAGCGAGCGCCGGTCGGAGGCCGACTCGGAAACCAGGCGGAACGGGAGGAGTGCGCGATGCACCCACCCGTTATCCGAACGACTTCCCACCGGGAGGGTGTGGGGGGCGGTATCACCTCCGCTTGCTCCCCCCGTTGGTGGTCGTTCGGGCCAAGCAAGTGGCGTGTTGAGAGCTCATGGCAGGCATTTATATTGGGATTCCGGCCTTGAAGTTGAGCTAGAGCGCTGCATCGAAATGGTGTTCCGTGTCGTGAAGGGAGAGGAAGAAAATCGCGCGATCATGATTACGTCCCATGACTCATTACGATCAATTTGTCAACGATCGGGGTGACATCCCTGTGACAAGTCTGCAGGAAACCACCATGTCTGATATCGACCATCCCTCGGATACGATCTTTCCGCCGGAGCTCGAATATGTGATCTTCAAGCTTGCGGCTGGGCAGGATCGGGGGAGCATACCGCGGCTGATGCTCGTCGCTTGGCGGGTGAAAGAATGGTGCGTATGCTCGCTGGAACTTGCAGGCGTTTACGAATGATCAGGATCGAGCCGCTGATGTACCAGCCGCTGCTTTTTGAAAGTCAAATCACGCGCGATAACAACCTTGGGCCTGTCTTCCCGTTCGAGCGGCTGCCGCAGCTTAGTCCAAATGTGGCTGCTGGCGTGAAAAGCAGTATATTCCCCGCTGCGTCCGTCCTGGCCATCCTGGACAAGCTGCCGTCCCTCGAGAACGTGTTTCTCTCTGTCGCGGAGAAGCTCTACACCGACTCCGAGCCCGGCGAGCCGCTCCCTGCGGCGTTCACGCGGCTGCCCTTCCGCCATCTGTATTGCGCGCTGGGGGACCTTTTGTTCCTCCCGGCACTCGATTCCCTCGAGTACCACTGCTTCGCGGGCCTCACGCATTTCGAGCTCTTCTCCGAGCCCACCCGCTGGGGCGTCGACACCTCGCCCTGGCCGGCCAACCGCAATTCGTGGGCGCTGATCGCCGCGCTGCCGAGCCTCACGCACTTTGCGCTAAACAACGTCTATCCCGCGAGTCTGATCGGGTTCCTCCTGTCTGCTTGCACGCGCCTCACGTGCCTTGTGCTCCTCAGCGTTGCGGCGCGGGGCGGGCGGTACCCACCTGCCGTCGCACATGACCCGCGGTTCGTTGTCATGCGGCCGAGTTTTGTCGTCGGGTACCTCCGGGACTGGGTCAGCGGTGCGGAGGGCGGGCCCGATTACTGGGCGCGCGCGGATGCCTTTATCGCGGAGCGGCGGGCGCGGCAGCGGACAGGCGGCGAAGGTCGGTCGTTTACTCGTCTTGGACTTGTTTGTCGCTGATATGTTGCAGCAGATGATACCTTCATCTATCCGGGCGAGCCGGAGTCAGATACGTCTGACTCGGAGTGATATCTCGCGTAGACCGAATATCTCCTTTGCTGCTGAGGAGCTAATTTCAGGATTTGCGGCCACTTATGAGCCCGTTGAAGTTGCGGGACCTGCCCGGGCCGGAGGCGCTGCTCGTGGTTTCGATTGTCCCGACTGGATCTCATAGCGCGTAAGGAGTCAGGACTTCCTCTGAACAGCGTTCCTCTGCCTCCTCGCTGGAACTTCCCACGCAAGTTAATCGGAGGAGCAAGTTTGTCTTTGTTATGTCTCACCCTATAAGGCGGGTAAGTATATAAATCGCACTATGACTCGGACGGCCCTCCATTTTTCCCCTTCCCACTCGCATGTCGTCGCAGCCACACACACAGCCTGAGACCTTACCACTCAGAGGCTCGCCCTGGGGATGTCAACGGACAGATGGGACTAGGAAAGGAGCGGGCCAGCGCCCAACAGACGGCTGTAACCACTGGCAGTGACAGCGACGGCCCCGGGGTCGGACAAGATCGCCCTGGTATATGCCTGTGTCGACTGCCCGTTTAGCTTTTCGGACCGCATTACGCTCTGCGACCACCTAGAGGTCGCGCACCTCCGGGTCCCCATGGAGGAGCCGCCGCCGACCGAGGAGATGGACAAGTACGTCGCTATTCCTAGGAGTATCCACGGGTTGACACTTCGCGGCAGGGAGTGCGACGAGCACTGGGAGCAGATCCGCACTGGCGCCGTCCCGTCGTACTACTGTGACGGCACCCCCGGCGCCCAGCCCGTCGCGTCCTGCAGCCCGGCGGCGGCGGCGGGTGTGGCGGAGTTCTTTGCTCGGCAGCACGCGGTGCGGGTCGCTGCAAAACAGTCATACGGAGGATACTATCGATACTAAGTAGCACAATCGATGGTGACCGTGGCTCGTGGTGACGCAAGGAGGTCCTTCAGGGAATGTGTCTGGGTGTTACTTCCGGAATCATGATAGAGCATTCATTGCAGTCAACTGGGGGTTGCAAATGATTCTCAGGCTCCTGTGACTTTGCTTATCAGCGGACGTGGAGTAGTAAAAGGATATATTCGGTCTACGGCAGAGTCGTATCACTCCTCGTCGGACGCATCTGACTCCGGCTCGTCCGGATAGATGAACGTATCATCTGCTGGAAGGTATTGATAACAAAAAAGTTGAAGACGAACAAGTCACTGACCTTCGCCTGCCCCCTGCCGCGCCCGGCGCTCCGCGATAAACGCATCCGCGCGCGCCCAGTAGTCGGGCCCGCCCTCTGCACCGCTGACCCAGTCCCGGAGGTAGCCGATGACAAAGTTCGGCCGCATGACGACAAACCGCGGGTCATGTGCGACATCCGGCGTGTACCGCCCGCCCCGCGCCGCGACGCTGAGGAGCACGAGGCACGTGAGGCGCGTGCAAGCAGATAGGAGGAACGCGACCAGAGTAGCAGGATACACGTCGTTCAGCGCAAAGTGCGTGAGACTCGGCAGCGCGGCGATCAGCGCCCACGAATTGCGGTTGGCCGGCCAGGGCGAGGTGTCGACGCCCCAGCGGGTGGGCTCGGAGAAGAGCTCGAAATGCGTGAGGCCCGCGAAGCAGTGGTGCTCGAGGGAATCGAGTGCCGGGAGGAACAAAAGGTCCCCCAGCGCACAATACAGATGGCGGAAGGGCAGCCGCGTGAACGCGGCGGGGAGCGGCTCGGTGTCGGTGTAGAGAAGACGTTTTCGAGGGACGTAAGCTTCTCCATGATGGCCAGGACGGACGCAGCGGGGAATATGCTGATCATGCTGCTTTTCACGCCGGCCGCCGCATTGGGACTAAGCTGGGGTAGGCGTTCGAACGGGAAGACGGGCCCAAGGTTGTTATCGCGCGTGGTTTGGCTGTCAAAAATGAGCGGCTGGTACAGCAGCGGCTCCAGCCTGACTAGTTGTCAACGCCTTCGACGGGGCATGGTTGAGACACGCACCATTCTTTGACCCGCCAAGCGACGAGCATCAGCCGCGGTATGCTCCCCCGATCCTGCGCAGCCGCAAGCTTGAAGATCACATATTCGAGCTCCGGCGGAAATATCGCATCTAACGGATGCTCGATATCAGACATGGTGGTTTCCCGCAACCGTGTCACACAATCCAATCAATCGGGATGTCACCCCGACTGTTGACAAATTGATCGCAATGAGTCATGGGACGTAATCATGATCGCGCGATTTTCTTCCTCTCCCTTCACGACACGATGCGGCGCTCTCGTTCATATCTTCAAGGCAGGATTGGGGCATAACGCGACCGCATCATGATCTTTCTTCTTGCTTTCTTTTTCTCGACGATGACAACGACTGCAAACTTTCCCGACCTGTGCTTGACTGGCGACAAAACGCGCACTTTCTTCAATCCGAGCCGCTTGGCCGGGGCCCGGCATCGAAGCCACCTGTCAGTGCCTGTTCGTCGTACGCTCCTTACTGATTGGATCTACTCCTGGACTTAGGGAGCAGGACTTTACCTGGTTTCGAGAACCCGGCACTGCCTCTCTGGTTTACATGCTTACGGACTTCAAGCCCGCCGACTGGCAGTATGATATACAATGACACCGGGAGCCTGGATACACACGAAGAACATCGTGCAGAACTACCTCCCTTCCCTTAAGCTGGGCAGATAGACAGCGTGGTAAGTGCATTATCGAGGAACGAGATACAAATGGCTTACCAGCCTGTCCAGGTCGGTCGGACACCGCAGTAGCGTCCCCGGGCACGACGGGAAGTGCCGCACCCGCTGAGCTCCGCTTGCGGTTGCGTCGTCCCATGGTGGCTTCAATGTTGGGCCTCTGCCACCCGTGTCAGCATTGGCTCACAGACGGGCGTTCATTACTGGGGGTGCACATGCACTTACATAGTTTTTGGTCTGCTTCTCGCGCGCCAGGCGCACCTTGTCGGCCGTGCCAGTGGTCTGCTGTTGTTGAAACTTTGTGAGCACATTGTTGACTTCTTGCCGAAGTTGGACTGACAAGTGTGTCTTCTTCTTTGAGTGCAAGGACGTCAGGCGGATTGTCGCTGTCCTGGCGGCCTACGACGGAAAGTGCCACACCCGGTAAGCGGCGCTTGCGGCTGCGTTTTTTCAAGGTGGTCCCAATATTAATCATAGGCCGCTGTCATTTCGGAGTTAGCATGGCCCACCAACAAGTGTCTTGCCAGTGTACATAGCCACTTTTCCGCTGCTCGCGCGCCAGGCGCACCTTCTCAGCCGTGCCAGTGGTCCGCTGTTGGCAAAACTTTGTGAGCACATTGTTGACTGCTTGCCAAAATTGGAACTGACAAGTGTGTCCTCTCGAGATGCAAGGGCATCAGGCTGATTGCCGCTGTCCTGGCGGCCTGGTGAGCGCTGCTCGCGGTTGCGTCGTCCCATGGTGGCCACAGGCTTCTGTCATCCGAGTCAGCATGGCTTACCAATAAGTGTGTCGCCAGGGCTAGCTTACATGTCCGTGGCCTCCGAATCACTGCTCGCGCACCACAAGCTTGTTGTCATCTTGGTGGACACTGGCAATGTGATGCACTCCGGGTATGGGCGTAGCAAGAGTGCTCATGGTGAGCATAACTGCGCAGACAATGGACAGAGTAAGTCTGGTGTGCATTGTGTATTGTTTCTTGCGAGTCTTTGGATGTTCAAGTTTAATGAGGGCTTGAAGAGAGGATGAAAAGCAACGCGCTGCGTTGCAAGAGAGTCGAATGGAGAATGAAGGAGAGTTGATTTTACTGAGTGTCAAACTTGGCTTGAGTAATGGGGACTGATTGCAAATGGACTTCTTATATCTCTCCACCCAAAGTTCTGATGCATTGAACACTATATTCAGCAGCCCTGTGCTATGGCCTCGGAGCAGTGATGCAATCCCTATCCTGATTATCCTGATGATTATGATATCACCTAGGAGATGTGTTGCCGACCCATACCCTGCAACTGCAATAATCATGTTGCCCTCCATGAGATATGTTGTGGATCTGTGCCCTGTATCTGGTAGCTGGAATGCAGCGGGAGGAACCTGTCAAGCTGTCACTGTTGGCCTGAATAGTGAAGTACCATCTGGGCCACAGTAAGGCCCCCGGACTCAAAGAGTTTTTAGCAGTACTGCAACCACAAATATACTGTGTTTCAGACCCAGGAGACATCAGGAAACACTGTTGCCTGAATCCTGATATCTGCTGGGGAACAAAATCATATCAAAAATAGGGTGAGTGAATAATTACCAATAATGAAATTTTTTGTGTAAGCCTGTAATATTATGAGTTTGTTGGTGCACTATTGAGCTACTACATTACTGTGGTATGTTGCTCAATTTATATGTTACATTTCACACTGGCTAAAAATCAGATTTTTCCCATATTACCATTTTGCTTAAAATCCTGTCCCAAAAGAGCAATTTTTGACGTTTCTGGGCCACCAAAAACTTGCTATTTCAGAAAGATTTTTATATTAAATGTCAGACCATTTTTGCCATTTGGATTGTGTAAAATACTGTCCTATTTAGGTCAACCTGTCCACGTTACGCGCTACATTGACTAAAAAGTCCTTCTCAAAAATTGCAATAAATCAAAAGAAAAATTTATGGTCCCGAATCTCAAAAAAGTGCTAGACACTGGATCAAAATGGGACAGTACTATACAGTCAGATTTTATTCAATTCGAATGGCCCTGGGGGCTGTAACCCATTCATTTAAGGCAGCCAAAAATCACTTTTTGCTGTGATGAACAAAAAAACAAAAGTGGATAACATCGGTCGTGTGACATGTGACATACAGATTGAATAGAATCCAAGATAGAATCTTATGGTAGTACCATAGTTAATGATATGACATTGAAACTGAGTAAAATCCTGATATCTATACTGTACTACTTCGTTCAATTTGGTCAGATTACCACTTTGTTGATGGATTCAAAAGTCACCTAAGAATCCAAAAAAAATCAACAAAAGTTATTGCTGGTGTTTCTAAACAGGAAGGGGTGTGACTGCTAGTGATGACGCGGATGGGCCTCTCAAGCAAATTCCACAGC